TTTTAGAATTTAATAAAAAATAAAGAGGGAAAGAGAGAGTGAAAGCAAATACTTTTAGTATTTAGAAATAATTATTTTATGTTTACTGATGCAGCATTTATTATATTAAAAATCCAGCAAAAAAGTATAAATCTGAAATAATATTACACTTAAAATAACTATTGTATATGAAAATATAATATACCATATGATTTAGGGTGGCACGGTGGCTCAGTGGTTACCACTGTCGCCTCACAGGGAAAGGTTGCTGTTCAAAGTGAATTGAATAAACTGACTTGGCCGTAGTGTGTTTGTGATTGAGTGTGTATGGGTGTTTCCCAGTACTGGGTTGCGGCTGGAAAGGCATCTGCTGTGTAGAACATATGCTGGAATAGTTGGCGGTTCATTCCTCTGTGGCAACCTCTGAAAAAGAGACTAAGCTGAAGGAAAATTAATAAATGAGCATATAATTTATTCCACTGATTCAGTACTCAATTTTCAGCAATCGTCCTCCAATCTCTGTCACATGATCCTCCACAAATCATTCTAATACATGCAGATTTGCTGCTCGAAAAAACAGAAAAACAAACGATCTGTTGAAATTATTGGCAGCACATCACAACTATTTCACCTACAGCTTTCATATGCAATCAATACACATCAAACTCGCGCAGCAGATTAACAGCAGCTCCTCTCTCTAATGACATTTCTGCAGTCGCTACAGTCTCCATATCTGCCTTCCACTTCAAACACATTCAGATGAGGAGCGCGAGGTGCTGGAACAAATAAACCCAGGTTGCATTGCCCACCAGAAAGTGAATTAATGCGCTTTTAATGGGCGAGCGAAGCCCCGCCCCCTCCTGCGCCACTGCCTTAATCGCTCAACCGCAGTTATGCAAATCGCACGACTCCAAGGCAAACATAAGCAGATGATAACAAAAGCACGGGCTTGGGGATGGAGAAATGAAAGAGCAGCACAAACTAATATTTAAATGAACGGTTTGATATGGTTTCACAGAGGATGCTGGAGTGCTTTTGTTTTGGGACGCGATGACAGTCAATCATGCGCGGCTCATATGAAGGAAGCAGCTGTTTATTTGCTCTCCCTCGGGTCACTCAAGATGTTTGTGACTTGTTTTGTATTCAGCACAACATTAAAAGAAGATTTTTGAGAGATGGAACTGCAGTTATTTGAAAAGCGCAAGTCTATCGGCATGCCTAGAGAATGTGCAGCGATATTGATGTGATCCAAGACCTGTGTAGAGATGATGCCAACCATTGAGGACTTCTAGAGGTCTCCATAATCCTGGACCAGGCCGTATCCTGAGCAGATGCTGTGTTGGTCATGGAGGAGTGGAGTGCATGAGACTGACTCCTGAAAGACCCCAGTTACATACGACTTCCCCATTAAATCCAAGGGCCAGCTTGAACACCCACCGGTGACTTACACACACCTGCCGCTTCTCCATGATGGACATCCAGTATTGTCCAGCCTCCCGCTCCTAGACTGCAGCTCTTCACAAGAAGTTTGACCCAAGGTGAAATGGTCGTGCCCAACTGAGCCTGGTTTTTCTTAAGGTTTTTTTTTTTTTGTTCACTTTCGTCAAATGGTGCTGTCCCCACTGGCTTGCTTGATTTTGGAGCTGCGCATCGATGGATTTGCTCTTCAGTGTTTGGACTTTCAGCAGAGAAAAGTAAACCATACTGAACTGAACTGAACTTCAACTCTGAAAACTGGACTAACACTGTTTACAATTACTTCTATGTTAAGCTGCTTTGACACAATCTACATTGTAAAAGCGCACAGAAAATAAACATGAACTGAACTTTGAAAGTTAAATGGGGTTTATAAGACTGTCATTAGACCTTTATAAATATCAATATTCCGTTTCAGTTGTAAATACACCATCATACCAAAATATATACGTCTGCAGTAGGGCTGCACAATACTGGGGAAATATGCAATATTATTGTTGAGTGTTGCAATAATGATATTTCTTACAAGATAACTGCAGCTACTTTATGATCAATTTAAAAAAACATTATTTATTTGTTACGATCATACTAAAATAAACAGGAAAAATTGTATTTTTTGAGCTAATTACACTGTAAAAAAACGATTAGTTGCTTATAAAAAGTTAGTAAACTAGTTGCCTTAAAAGCAACAAGTTGATTTTACTTGAAAAAGTTAGTAAACCCTTTGGCTTAACGTTTATGGTAACACTGTAAAAAGTGATTAGTTACTTAAAGCGAGTAAACAACTGCCTTAAAAGCAACATGTTGACTACAAAAATAATGTAAGTAAACCCATTTTAACTTAAGAAGACTTAATTTTTTGAATAATGCAATTTGTACTAATTTTTTTAAGTAAAAATAAACTAATCACTTTTTTCCAGCTTTTCTGTATCTAGCAAAATGCATACAGTAACTAAAATAAATCTGCTCCTCCAGACTCCAGTGTGTCTTCTTAATTCAATAAAGGCTATAATTGCAGATTTTATTTAATGAATTTTAACAGATTTATTTATTTATAACTTAATGAAGCAACAAATATGTAATATTGTAATAATTACAGTAATTATTTGAAAACAGACATGCTAAAATAGTCTGACGCTATAAAAAAGGGATTAGTTGACTTTAAAAAGTGAATATAACTAGCATGATTATAAAAATTAAGTCAGCTTAACAGTTCTAAGTTACAATAGGTTTACTTACATCATTTTTGGAAAGTCAACTTGAGGAAAAGTTTGGAAAGTTGCTTTTAAGGCAATTGGTTTACTTGCTTTAAGTAAGTGATCACTTTTTACAGTGCATGCACACAGTTTGTTTACTTAATAATTATAAAGTAATAGGTTTACTGTCTTTTTTAAGTAAAGTGAACTGATCACTTTTCAGAGTGTAAACTAAAGCATAAATGTGTCAAGGTGCAAACATTTCTAAATTTTCATATAAAAAAATAAAACAATTTGTTTAACATTTCTGTGGTAAGAAAAAAGCCACGAATGACTTAAAACCGTGGGGGAAATTCTGATTCCTATTAGCTGTTGTCATTTTTTCTCTCTCGTCTCCCGGCATTCGTGTTTTATTTTCAGCTGTAAATTCAGCTCACAGCATCTACTGATGGGAGTAAAGGCTTCACCTGATTGGTCAGATTTCAATAAACATGCATGTACAGCACACAAATGCATGGCACATAAAACTAACTTAATTGGTGACGCTTTAGTTTAGGTCACTACACATGCTATTAACTATTGTCTTGTTGCATGCCTACTATTAAGATATGAACTGTTCATTAGTAGTTATAAAGTTTGATCTTATTCAGCATGCCTAATCCTACCCAAAACCTAAACCCAACTTCTACTTCTACCTTACTAACTTTTAATTAACAGCTAATTAGTAGTTTGTTAAACTAGTAGTGGTGATTGTTATTGGTTTGTTAATACTATGAATGGTGACTTAAAATAAAGTGTTACAACTTAATTTGTTGCACAATTTGGATATTGCATTTACTATTATTGCAAAAACAAACAAACAAAAAAAATAAAATTTTTATGCATTCATTTACTTTCCTTCAGCTTAGTCCCTTTATTCATTAGGGGTTGCCACAGCGGAATGAACCACTAACTTGTCCAGCATGTGTTTTACACAGCGGATGCTTTCCAGCTGCAACCCGGTACTGGTAAACAAAATAATACATTTTTAAAATATTTTGCAGCAACTCGCACAGATGTTATTGCTGTACTAAAGAAAAACAGTCATCTGAATCTTGTATCTCCCAGAGGGTGAGGAAAATAACAGCTAATTTCAATTTTTGGGTGGACCGTCCCTTTAATGAATGACGCTGGAGGTGAGAAACATGAAAAGTGAGTGAAAACACTTGAATATGTACATAGCCAAGTGCTCAGCGTGTAGCATGCAAAGCTGCATTGGTAATAAACCTGCCCACGGCACTGCATAGTAAAATATGGCGTAACACATTATAATAACACTCATTAATATGGGTTTAACACACATTATATAAGGCTTGAAGGAGCAGTTTGAAAATGAGGATTCTTGAATCATTTATTCACCCTCGTGTTGCTTTCTTGGAACACAAAAAATCAATTATGTCGGTCTCATAATCGATAACAACACTGCAAATATGAGTGTGTGTATTATGCCATTACTTAAGCTGAACTATTTTGAACTCTGTGAAGAGATTTTATAATTAGAGTTTTGCTTTTAATAAGAGAAAGTTCAGATATAAAAGAAAGATTAAAAAGTTCAACATTTATTATAATAAAAAAATGAATAAAAAATATACATTATATATATATAAATATAATAAAAATAACATATATTATGATACTGAGAGTTTTTTCCCATGATTTGATGATATTTAAGTGCGAGTGACTGGATGTTCTGTTACTTTATAATTATTTCATAAATACTTTTATCGTTTTGACCAAATAAAAAAATAATTAATTAATTAAAAATAAATCTACCATAAAAAATATAAATAATTATTTATGACTCCAATCTTTTAAATTGTATTTAATAATTGTATAAACTTTAATAATTTAATTTTTATTAATAATTTAATTACATTTAACATATTATGTTATCTTTTTTTTATTTTTTATATAATATTTTATTTATTTTTAATCCCAATAATATTGTATTTATTCACTAATTTAATTTACGTCTGGATTTATTCTTATTGTTTATTCTAATTTCTTATTTTTTATTTAATTTAATTCAATTGAACTAATTTTATTTTATTTTATTTTTTAAATCTGATAAAATTGTATTCAATTTCAGATAAAATAAAATTTTTCTTCACTACTAGAATTTTTTTTTATTTAATTAAATTAAATTGAACCATTTTTGTTATTGTTTTTTTGTAAATCTAATCTAATCTAAATCTAATTGTTTTTTCCTTACTTCTGGACTTACAGTATTCTCATTGTTTTAAGTCTACTTTTTAAAAATAATTTTAGGCTTGAACCCAAGTGCTCTAAATGCTCTTTCGAGCCACTCACCGTTGAAGCTGACGTTGCGTATATATCCCAGCAGCTCTTTCCCATTGATGTTGCTCATGCGAGGGCAGAGTCCGGGATAACCGAAGCAGTATTCCCTGTGCATTCGGTGGAGAGCGTGAGCCATCGCATACACTGCATCCATCACGAACTGAACCTTTCCTTCCTGCTCATAACTAGAGTCCCGGCCCACTTTCTCCAGCCCTGCACAAACACACACAAAAAACTTCAGCAAACACACAATACAGACCCTCACATTTCAGTAAAGTCAGCTTTACTGTCATTCCTCTACATGTGTGGACATATAGTGGAATGCAATGTTAAACCATTAATACACATAAATACGAACACAACACTGGACGTACCTATTACTGACTTATCATTACTTATTACGGACTCCAAACGTTGGAATTGCATTAAAAATAAATAACTAAAATCAACATGACATAAAATAAAGGATTAATGTTTGAAATGGCAATAATTTTAAATTAAGTGAAAGGAGAAATAGGGGGAAAAAAGAGTTTTATTAATTTTATTAATTGTTTTCATTTTAATTATTTTAATGGTTTAAGTCAATTTAATTTAATTTAATTTAATTTAATTTAATTTAATTTAATTTAATTTAATTTAATTTAATTTAATTTAATTTAATTTAATTTAATTTAATTTAATTTAATTTAATTTTTGTTTTAATCAGGGGGAATCAGGAACTGGTGTGTCTGGGGTGCATGATGGGAGTTGTAGTTCATTAAATTGGTATATGCTAGTGATCGTGACAATTATGTACTGTCAACCTTGACATAACTAAAGACTTAAGTTAAGTAAATTTAGTTATTAAAATTTTAAAATGTGCTGAAAAATCTCTTTCAAGCAATATAAAATTCTTAGGTATCTATTTTACTTAACTTTTATTTTTTATGTTTTTTTTATTAATTTATTCATTATTAGTTTTTTATTATTTTATTTTATTTTACTTACATTTTTTTATTATTTTATTTCATTTTATTCTTTCATTTTATTTTATTATTTTATTTGTTTATTTATTTTATTATTTTATTTTATATTATTTTTTCATTTTATTTTGTTTCATTTTATTATTTAATTAAATTTTATTTTATTGTTTTTAATTTTATTATTTTATTTTATTTTATTTTATTTTATTTCATT